CAAACCACTCTAAAATTCAGAAGCTTAATATAATAAGTAGCTATTATTACTCATGAGCCTCCAGGTCATCAGGACAGTTCTAGTCCCAGGTGAGCTCACATCTACATCTTTCGGTGGCTGCAGGTCAGGTGGGTTGCCATGCTGCTCCTGGCTGGGCTTACATGTTTGGGGTCTGCTGGCTGTTCATAGGTCAGGGAAGACTTCAGCTCTTTTCTTTTTTTTTTTTTTCTTTTTTTTTTTTTTTTTTGAGGCGGAGTCTCGCTCTGTCGCCCAGGCTGGAGTGCAGTGGCCGGATCTCAGCTCACTGCAAGCTCCGCCTCCTGGGTTCACGCCATTCTCCTGTCTCAGCCTCCCGAGTAGCTGGGACTACAGGCGCTCGCCACCGCGCCCAGCTAGTTTTTTGTATTTTTTAGTAGAGACGGGGTTTCACCGGGTTAGCCAGGATGGTCTCGATCTCCTGACCTTGTGATCCACCCGTCTCGGCCTCCCAAAGTGCTGGGATTACAGGCTTGAGCCACCGCGCCCGGCCTTCAGCTCTTTTCCATGTGGCTTTTCATCTTCCATCAAACTAGCCCAGGCCTGTTCTCATGGCAGAAGCAGGGATCCCAAAGAGAACGTGGAAGCATTCAAGGTTTCTTTAGGCTCAGACTCAGGACTTTATCACTTCTGTCATTTTCTTTAGGCCAAGGTGAGTTAAAATCCAGCTGAGATTCTGGGAGGAGCTGCCAAGTCACATTGCAAAAGGTGTGGCTATGGGGAGGAGTGAGTGGAAAATTCAGGCAATTTTTGCAATTAAACTCCCATATTACTTTAAAAGCTTTCAATTCTACCAGGAAGCGATAGCAATTCTAACTTGTACAGTATGTGCCCAATAAAATAGCCTCAAAATGCAGAAAGAAAAATAGAACTACAGGGAGAAATGAAAAAGATTACTCTTATAGTGGGAGGTTTTCATGCATGTTTTGCCATTATTTATAGGTCAAGCAGACAAAAAAAATTATTAAAGATATAGAAGAGCTGAACACTATTTATTATTATTTTTGAGAAAAAGTTTTGCTCTTGTTGTTCAGGCTGGAGTGCAATGGTATGATCTTGGCTCACTGCAACCTCCATCTCCTGGGTTCAAGTGATCCTCCTGCCTCAGTCTCCCAAGTAGCTGGGATTACAGGTGCCTGCCACCTGCCTGGCTAATTTTTGTATTTTAGTAGAGATGGGGTTTCATCATGTTGGCCAGGCTAGTCTTGAACTCCTGACTTCAGATGATTCGCCGCCCGCTTTCACCTCCCAAAGCGCTGAGATTACATGTGTAAGCTGTACACAATTTTTTTTTTTTTTTGAGATGGAGTCTCGCTGTCACCCAGGCTGGATTCCAGTGGCGCGATCTCAGCTCATTGCAAGGTCTGCCTCCCAGGTTCACGCCATTCTCCTGCCTCAGCCTCCCGAGTAGCTGGGACTACAGGCACCCGCCACCACGCCCAGGTAATTTTTAAAAATATTTTTAGTAGAGATGGGGTTTCATCGTGTTAGCCAGGATGGTCTCAATCACCTGACCTCGTGATCCGCCCGCCTCGGCCTCCCAAGGTGCTGGGATTACAGGCATGAGCCACTGTGCCTGGCTGCTGAACACAATTTAAAGCTTGAATTAATTCAGGTATTCCGTCAACAAATATTTATAGCACACTCTCTGTGTGTGAGGCACTATTTGAGGTGTGCTTGGTATATAAAGTGAACAAGTCAGTCATCTGTGTCCTCATGGAGTTTATATTCTTGTGAAAGGAAATAGATAATAACCAAGTTCACACACAAAGCAAACGTAATGACTATGTTATGGAGAAAAGCAGCAGGGAAAAGGAGATACAGGGTGCTGGATGACCTTAAATAGCATGGCCAGGGAAGACACTACTGAGACACACACTTGAGCAAAGACCTGAAAGCATGGAGGGAATGAGTCATGTATGTCTCTTGAGGACTAACAGAGGGAACAAGTATGAAGAGGGCCCGCAGGCAGGAGCTGGTTTGGCATGTTCTAGTAGTAGACAGAGGCAGGCCTGGCAAGGTGGGAAGGGATAGGAGTACTCAGGGGCCAGATCATGCAGGACCTTTTTGCCTTAAGAATTTTGGATTTTAGTCTTAGTGATAGGAGGACCCTTCAGGGTCTTTGACTAGGGGGGTATCATACAGTATTAGGGGTGAGGATCCTGGATAAAAAAGGGCTGTTTCCAGGACAAGGGTCAGGAAGCCAGACTTCTCCAAGGTTGCTCATACCAGTCCTTGTCAGGCAATGTGCTCCTAGAGAATTTCCTTTGCTTTGTGTTTCATCTACCTAGACAGCAGTGTATTCCCCAAAGGATGTCACTATCTCCAGAGAACATATTCCAATTATCCTGGGAAATAAGATAACTGAGATTATAAGAGTACTCATTTTCTCAAATTTTCAGAATGAAAACCTATCCAAGGCAAGAACAAAAGGTCTCCAGGAAGTACTCCCTTCCCCATTGTGATATCCCAGTTAACACTTTATTAGAGCTACCAGGTTACATGAAACTGTTGATAGTTTTGCCACTTTCCTTTCAAGATATAGGCAGGGGCAGTGGCTCAAGTCTGTAATCCCAGGACTTTGGGAGGCCAAAGTAGGTGGATGGCTTGAGCCCGTCAGTGCAAGACCAGCCTGGGCAACAAGGTGAAACCCTATCTCTACCAAAAATACAAAAATTAGCGGGGCATGGTAGCATGGACATGTAGTCCCAGCTACTTAGGAGGCTGAGGTGGGAGGATGGCTTGAACCCTGGAGGTGGAGGTTGCAGTGATTGGAGATCGTGCCACTACACTCCAGCCTGGGCGACTGAGCGAGACTCTGTCACAAAAAAAAAAAAAAAAAAAAAAAAAATTGCAGCCAGGCATGGTAGCTCACACCTGTAACCCCAGCACTTTGGGAGGCTGAGCCGGGCAGATCACAAGGTCAGGAGAAAAAAATGAGCTGGGTGTGGTGGTGCGTGTCTGTAGTCCCAGCTACTGGGGAGGCTAAAGCAGGGGAATCACTTGAACCTGGGAGGCAGAGATTGCAGTGAGCTGAGATTGTGCCACTGTACTCCAGCCTGGTGACAGAGCGAGACTCAGTCTAAAAAAAAAAAAAAAAAGTGTGTGTGTGTATATATATGTATATAATCTTACACGAAAGAAGGAAATAAATGGGTGCATTTATTCAACAAGTATTTATTGAGCACCTACTCTGTGGCAGGCAGTCTTCTAGGTGCTAGGGTTGTAGCAGAAAACAAGACAGGCAGAGATCCCTGCTCTCAGAGGGAGCACAACATGTAAGATAAACATGCAGAACACCTGGTATGTTAGATGCGAAGATAAATGCCCTTAAGGAAAGTAAGGCAGGGACAGTGACATTTAGGAGTGAGGATGTTGCAACAATTTAAAATAGGTTGGTCAGGGGAGATTCATTGAAAAGTCCCATCTGAGTCAAAACCTAGAGGAGAGGAATTGAAGCAGGCTGGCATCTGGGGGAGTTGTGGGCAGAGGAAATAGGAAATACAAAGGCCCTAAGGTGGGGAAATAGCAAGGACTCAGGTGTGGGCAGAGCAGAAAGTAGGGGCTGCATGAGCAAAGGGCAGGGCCTGGCCCACATCTTGTAGAGCTTTGTAACATAACCACAACATGCAAGTGTACAATTTAACATTTTATTCCACATCTTATGGCAAAGAAAAATTGACTGCTACCAATATGGTAGTTTCTGACCTCTAGTTCCCTAAATAGAATTCTGTAAGTTGTAATACACTTTACTACACATTATCAGAAAAAGACTAAAAGTTCTATTTAGTAACTCCAATTCTGACAGTTCTCATGTCTGGGCTAGAACAAGCGCATGGCAATGGCAGAACAGATGTCTTCTATTTTCTTTGCAGGATTTTCTTTTTTCAGAGGAAAGTACAGGTATGGGCCCACTCAAGTGGGGCTCCAGGTAGTAGGGGGTTCTGTCCTCACCCAGGCAGCAAACAGGAGGGCAGAAGCCCCTCCAAGGGTACTACAAACTTGGCTCCGATCCATGATTTCAGTTTCTGACAATTACAACATTCAGTAGGGGAAAGAAAATCAGGTATCTGAGAGCTTGCACAGAGGCATTCTAGCAAAACCAAAAGCATCTACTGGCTACTTGATGTTAGTGTGAAGATTCTCATGAAATGGAGACAACCATTCTAGGGGTTGAGGGTGGCCAGGGGGATGGGCAGAGGGTGAATCCTGAGCTGAGAGAACTAAGAAAACAAAAACAATACAACAAAAAGCTGCTCAGCCATGTGTTACCCATACTGGAGTCCTGTTTGCTCATTCTGGTGTGGAACCCAGGGCCCTGGTAAGGGAATGAGGTGACTCCAGGGCATTTGCCTCCCTCAGTGGAAGGAGGGAGGTAAGGGGTTAAGGTGGTAGTACAGCCTGCAGGGCCAGGAGTCTGAACTCCCTCCAGGAGGGACCCAAGAGGTGTCTTTAGCCTGAGCCACACAAGGAAGGGTACAGAGTCCAGAAGAGCTCTGCTTAATATTCATATAGTAAGTTTCCACAGACTAAATACATACACACACACACACACACACACACACACACGTTTACTTCTCAAATCATGTACCACTTTCTACCAGATTCAAGAACATCCATAAGTACTAATGGGTATCCAACCATTAAGAAAAAGTTTGGGGCCGGGCGCGGTGGCTCAAGCCTGTAATCCCAGCACTTTGGGAGGCCGAGACGGGCGGATCACGAGGTCAGGAGTTCGAGACCATCCTGGCTAACACGGTGAAACCCCGTCTCTACTAAAAAATACAAAAAACTAGCCGGGCGAGGTGGCGGGCGCCTGTAGTCCCGGCTACTCGGGAGGCTGAGGCAGGAGAATGGCGTAAAAACCCGGGAGGCAGAGCTTGCAGTGAGCTGAGATCCGGCCACTGCACTCCAGCCTGGGCGATACAGCGAGATTCCGTCTCAAAAAAAAAAAAAAAAAAAAAAAAAAAAAGAAAAAGTTTGACTCCCTCACTAGTTGTAATATACAAGTCTTCCCATTTCCTTACCTGTAAGATAAGGGAACAGCCTAGCAACTTACCTGATGCATAGGGGGTTCTTAATCATCTCCCTTCCTCTCCCTCATCCTAACGAAAAATACTAGATTGCTGTCAAATGCTATGGGTATACTTTAAATCGGTGCTTGTCAAACTTTAATGTGCAGCCCAATCAGCTGGGGGAATCCTGTTAAAATGCAGGTTCTGATTCAGTGGAGCTGGGGTGAGGATAGGAATTATGCGTTCTTCACAGGCTTCCAGGTTATACTACACTGCTGATTGGGGATCCTTCTTTGAATGGCAAGAATTTGACACTACTAGGTTCCATTACTTAACACAACCATCTCACAAAAGCCCTCAAAAGGCACCACACAGTCTAAACAATGAGCCCTTCCACTTCAGCTTCATGCAGGCACTGACCCTGCCAGTGTCCAGCACTAGAGAGGCCAGGCATAATACATATATCCTTTGGTCTTGGGAGGTTCACAACACCCTCCTACGGGAAGATCTTGCAATTGTCTCCTCACCTCTTCTGGTTTTTTGATCTTACCTTTTCCCTCTGATGATAATTACCCTTTAATTACCATCCACTACCTTGTCATCTAAATAATTATAGTAAGTGCAGCCTGCACCTCTGCCAGAGATCTTTAAACAGAATGATAAAAACAAGTTCCTAAATTGCCAATTAAAAAAAAGAGACAAAACTGACCCAAATAAAACAGTCATGTGCATCCCACCCACAGTGGAAGATATGGACTTGTTATTCATATAAACTACAGAAGAAGTTGGTTTATTTTGAAACAAGAAAAAATACTGACTCAGTATTTGGGAAATTGTAAATGTCAGAATATAAATTCTGCAGTCAGGTAGGCAAAACAATCCAACCACACTAAAACCCACCTCAAATTCCTCTTGGGAAAGGCTGCAGGGTCTCTGAACTATTTTTCCTTTATTTGGAGTTTCCCCGATTATACCGGAGGGAGCTGGATAACTTCTGGGTGCATTAAAAGCAAATTATCCATTTGTGGAAGAAGGGCGGGCTTCTCACTGAAAGCAATTAGTAGTTTTCTAATTTCCCAGGTGGGTCTCCATTAACCGCCTAACAAACATCAAGGCTGTCCGAGTCCGACGAATCATGCACCTCTCTTAGGGGGAACTAGTTGTGCTATTCTTTAGAATGCTGTTTTCTCATAGTAGCCTTAAAAAAAAAAATTACCAATTTTCTGAATTAGGTAACACATTAAATGGGGAAAACCTAAGACAGCACAAAAAGGCGCACAGCGAAAAATTAAGACTCCTTCCTCCCGTCATCCGCCACCTCACTGTTCTCCCTTGAGGCAATCACTGGCTTACTTCTCTAAACTTTTTATTATGGAAAATTTCAGATACACAAGTAGAGAGATTGTATGATGAGCGCATGTGCTTGCATCACGCAGCATCAACGATGAAAAACGTCCTGCTAGCTTGTTTTATTCCTCTCCCCCAGTTTTCACAGGCGTATTTTACACTCCTGACACCAGATCACTCTACCTGTCAACATATCAGTAGGTCTTAAAAAAAAACAAAACCATAACCACATTACCGTTACCACACCCAACAAGGTTAATGATATTTGCTCAATACCATCCAATATTCTCGGGGCCACTTTCAATCGGTGACGGACAGACGGAGTTAGAGGGAGGACTGCAGGACTGGAGGGGCGCGAAAAAGCGCGGGGCAACGCTGCTCGCGGCCTCGGGTGTCCGGCGCCTCGCAGTCCCGCCGTCGTCACCTACGCCGGGCCAGGACCTGCCAGGCCAGGTCGAGGGCGGCTCTGGACCACGCGCTCCCTGCCTCCGCGCTCCCGGGCGGCGGCCCCCGCAGGCCCAGCGCAGCTGCACAGCCCGCGGTCCCCAGACACCGGCGGGTCCCTGGAGGGGAAGCGATTGATACAGCTGCCTGCACTGCGCCACCCGCTCGGCCGCCCATCCCCGTGGCACCTGCGTCTCCCAGCGGGGCCGGGAGCTAGAAGTGGCTGCCGAGACCAGGAGGGCCAGGCCAGCCGCCCGCTCCCGCTCCCGCTCCCGCGCCTGGTCCTGGGCAACGCGACCTCGCGGACCTGGACTACAACTCCCGTCGGGCCCCGCGGTCAGGCCAATGGCGGGCGCCGGAGCATGCGGAGCGCAGCGCCTGCGCGGCGGTTTGAGTAAGCGGCTGCGTGATTGGCTGCGGGGTCGGGCGGCCGCGCGGGGACTGTGGGAAGCGGAGTGACGGAGCGAGCGGCTGTTGGAGGAAGGAGGTGGGGGCCGGGAGCGCAAATGGCGTTGAGATGGTTCAGGGCCCTGTTCAAACTCCAGCGCTGACCATTCACCGGCGGAAGCGGCGGCGCAGGAGGCGGCGGCGGCCCAGCAGGGGCACGTAGCGGGCTCTGGCACCAGCTCCGGCGGCGGCGGCCAGCGAGAGCTAGGCCCGGGCCCGGCCGGCGGCGCTCGAGGCGGGGAGGGAAGTTGCGGGGCCGCCGCTCCTCCCCCCCCCACCGGGCTTCCTATTTACCGAACGCGGAGCCCCTCGCCTCTCTCGGCTCTCACCAGCCGGCCCGGCTCTCCCGCGCGGGGGTTCCGCGCCCGCCCGCGGGCCGTAGGGAGCGGGAGAGGCGGAGGCGGCCCGTGGCCAAAGCACCCGCCAGGCGCCGAGGGTAAGTGAGGTGTCGGGCGGCAGCCTAGGCCGGGAGGGAGCCGGGAGGGTGGGGGAGGCAGAGGCTGGGAGCGGGCGGTGGAAGTCTTAACTGCCTCGCCCACCGGGCCGCTGAGGAAGTTGGGCAGGGGAATGACCTGAAGAACTCTCTTTTCCCCCTTTTATTTTCCTTTTTCGGAGTTCTTTTTCGGGCGACTGCTGATTGACTTAGGTCCCCAAACCCAGTCAAGTGTGTTGATTTCAGCCCCGAGTCCTTTCCCGTGGTTTCATCCGCCCCTGGCTGCCACTGGGGCCTTGCACTGCCCTAGGGATTCGGTGGCAGAGGCTTCCGGGGCGTCGAAAGCGACCTCCCTTTTCTGGGCGGCGCGGGTTGGGAGGAGAAAAGTTGCGTGAGTGTCCAGTCCGAGGGGTCCACCGCGCCCACTGCCCGTGGCGCCCCGGCTGTTCCCAGGTGAGGATTTCTCGGTAGTCAGGTTTGTCCCGTCCGCTTTCCATCCTTAATGGAAGCCCCTAAAGCCTTTGGGGATCGGGAAGACGCTAGATTAGGGTGAGAGTGAAAAATAAAGGCTTTTTTTTTTTTTGGTTTTCTTTAATCAGCGCACTTCCCTCAAAATTCGACCTGATTTTGGGCTAGGGCAAAAGCCCAACAACCGAAAAGACTTAGTCGTGAATCATTCTTTCCTTTTTAGTTAGGACAGTCTTTGGAGTTTAAAGGTTGAGCAGGATCATGTACTTGAAACACTTAAAATTTAATTTCAAAGACGTCTGCACACTTATTTTGGAATCTATAGTGCTTTATGCTTACATGCCATTGCAGCAGTCTGCAGACTTAAAGACATTTTATTGTGGGAAACTATGATAAAGGCAATCAGGAGGAGATACTATATAATGAACTCTGTACCCATCGCTTGGATTCAGCAGTTAATATTAAAGTTATTTCATCTGTACACTTCTCATTCTTTAAGGTTGGAAAATCGCTGACGTTATTTCATCAGTATTTCACTATGTATTTATAAAAAACGTGGTCTTTTGGCACGAAATTATTATTATTATTATTATTATTATTTTTGAGACGGAGTTTCGCTCGTTTCCCAGGCTGGAGTGCAGTGACGTGATCTCAGCTCACCGCAACCTTCGCCTCCCGGGTTCAATTGATTCTCCTGCCGCAGCCTCCCGAGTAGCTGGGATTACAGGCATGCGCCACCACGACCGGCTAATTTTCTATTTTTAGTAGACACGCAGTTTCTCCATGTTGGTCAGGCTGGTCTCGAACTCCCAGCCTCAGGTGATCTGCCTGTCCCGTCTTCCCAGAGTGCTGGGTTTACAGGCGTGAGCTACCGCGCCCAGCCAGCACAAAGTTATTTTTTATCACATAAAATAATTAAGTCCTTAGTGTCAGATATTCATCTGCAGACTTTAAACTTTCAACAGTGAATGCCTTGGGGTTCTAGAACCATTTTAACAGTGAGTTTTTCTGATGTTGACATAAAGGAACTCAAGTCTAGATTTTTGGTTTGGCCTTTGGTTAGTATTTTTAGATGATTAGCACATAAGCGTATCCAAAACGTTTCAACCTTGTTGGTGTATATATGTAAGCACACTTACAGACCTGCAGGATCTCAGCTTTACATTCTTGAAAGAATCAAGAGAATCGACTTTTAGTTTGTTGTCTGTGATAGTTGCCCAGTATCCTGTTGTGTTTAGGCTGTACTTAACAAGAAAGAGAGTAAGACTTCTTAGTGTTGGAGCTGCAGTAGAAGATGAAATAGATCTCCTTCAGGAACACTGTTTTCTCTTAACACAGATATGTATGATGACTAAATTATTATTTTGTTAAATTAAAATTGTCTTCTCACCAAACATCGGGGGATCTACTACAGAATATATATAAAACTCAGACAGTGACTCATTGTAAGTTGTAATAATTTAAGTTAAGGGAAAACACAAGTGTAGCTCAAAACATATTCAAAAGTATAGGTCAAATATAATTTCAATTCTTGTAGTTTTCAAAGTAAGAAGATTTTTCATCCCTTAGGCCCTTGTTCACTTTTTAAAGTTATATTCGATGTATTGATGTTTGAACTGTAGAAAGGTCAAAGTGTAGACAAACGGATAAGGATTGATCATGTTTAAAAAGTACTGTACCTTTTTTTAATAAGCACAGAACCAGTGCAAGTAACTTGTTTTAAAAAATGTTTGACTCTTGATTTTCTGCCCTAAAGATTTTTTTTTGTCCTGTGAAGTAGATAAATCAGGTAAATCGATTTGCCATTTATAAATTGAAGAGAAAAATAAAGGTTATATGTTTCTATTCCTGTATTAATCCATGAAACAGTGTAATATGCTGGAGCTCACTAGCTCCAGAAAATGTAACTCAGCAAATGAGCACAGCACTATCGGGACAATGCAGATAGGATAAGGATAGTTTCTTTCCCTTAGGGAGATGACCATCTAAGGAACATTTTTTAAGTTACAGCCCGAATTACATTACACCAAGAAGCAGAATCTTCAAGATTGGGTTAAAAGCTGCAGGTTGTAAAACATGAGAAAAAGCACCATTTTGGGGACCTTTTTTCTCCTATGAATTAGTGCCATGAAATTTCAAAGAACTAAATTTAATCAAGTATTGGATATTTCTGAGGCCCTGAAAAAAATTAACATTCTGTGCTTAAGATTTTATATAGGTGATTACCCTGTATAGATTATTATTACATCCCTGCAGCCTCCATCTCCTGAGTTCAAGCAGTTCTCCTGCCCCAGCCTCTCAAGTAGCCTGGATTACAAGCGTGTGCCACCACTCGCAGCTAATTTTTTTATTTTTAGTAGAGACAGGATTTCACCATGGTGGCCAGGCTGGTCTCAAACTCCTGGCCTCAAGTGATCTGCCTGCCTCGATCTCCCAGCCTCTATACAGATTATTTTTTAAGGTAAAAATGATGTTTATAAGAATAGCAAGTTGATTCATTTGGAGCTTAATACGTTTCAAGTTAGCTTTGTGGATATCGTATTATAAGTTGGTTAATCATTAAGTTTTTTTACTTTGTAAGTAGCATAGGAATATGTACTCATTGTAGAGGAAAATTGACATGGAAGCATGTAGAGTAATAAATCAGCCTTTATACCCCTTCCTCATATTTGTTTGTTTAAAAGTCTGTGGTGAGTGTCAAAAGTCATGAGGGAAGAATCCCTAGGTTTTTATTTTTATAGCACTGTTTAACACTTGTTGAGTATTTGATGATTATATGTTTTCTTAAATTTTTTTTCACAGAATATGAAACTGGTGTCAAAATGACATCCAGATTTGGGAAAACATACAGTAGGAAAGGTGGAAATGGCAGTTCAAAATTTGATGAAGTCTTTTCCAACAAACGGACCACCCTTAGCACAAAATGGGGAGAGACTACATTTATGGCTAAATTAGGGCAGAAGAGACCCAATTTCAAACCAGATATCCAAGAAATTCCGAAGAAACCTAAAGTGGAAGAAGAAAGTACTGGAGATCCTTTTGGATTTGATAGTGATGATGAGTCTCTACCAGTTTCTTCAAAGAATTTAGCCCAGGGTAAGGGTTCCTCTTACTCAGAATCTAGTGAAGCTGCTCAGCTGGAAGAGGTCACTTCAGTACTTGAAGCTAATAGCAAAATTAGTCATGTGGTGGTTGAAGACACTGTTATATCTGATAAATGCTTCCCTTTGGAGGACACTTTGCTTGGGAAAGAAAAGAGCACAAACCGAATTGTAGAAGATGATGCAAGCATAAGTAGCTGTAATAAATTAATAACTTCAGGTAAGTTTTGATTTTCTTTATTCTCAGCCAAGAGGGCTTTGTGCAAGCAATTTTTAAAAATGATTTAACTTCTAAAATGCATATTGTGTTTTCTTTCTGCACTTAGGATAAATGGGGACTATTGATAGTTTTGTAAAAGACATTTAAGAACTTTAAAGAAACCAGTTGGAGGTTGAAATAATAAAACAACTTGGATATTAATGTTTATAGACTGTTGCTCAGGTTACATTTTGGGAACAGTCATATGTTTCTAACCCCGATTCCAATAAGAAATATCTCTTTTTGTTGTGTTAGGATCACGGAGTATCTCATTTCTGTTACTGTGGAGGATTTGGATGGTTATTGTTAATGAAAATGAGATGAGTACTTAAAATGAGGATTAGTTAACAATGGTAGACTCTCTGCCAAAACTAGCTGAGAAAGATTAAGGAGGTATTGAGTGGAGACATTAAAGAATTGAACTTGATTCCAAATTGAGATTAGTTTGGGGCCAGTAGCAGCTTGTATTGATAGATTTATTTATTTTGAGACGGAGTCTTGCTCTGTCGCCCACGCTGGAGAGCGGTGGTGCCATCTCGGCTCACTGCGCGCTCCGCCTGCCAGGTTCATGCCTTTCTCCTGCCTCAGCCTCCCAGGTAGCTGGGACTACAGGGGCCCACCACCACACCCGGCTAATTTTTGTATTTTTAGTGGAGACAGAGTTTCACTATGTTAGCCAGGTTGGTCCTGATCTCCTGACCTTGTGATCCGCCTGCCTCGACCTCCCAAAGTGCTGGGATTACAGGCGTGAGCCACCGTGCCCGGCTGTATTGATAGATTTTAAACCACAAAACTGGTTGTATTTTAAAAATGTTAATTTGTAAATAGAACATCTAGTACTCTCTCCTAAAACGATACATTTTCTTCTGTCTCCTGTAAGGGATTTGAGATTTATAATAAGTGAAAAAGGTACAATTAACTAAAAGACTGAAGAGCTAATATTGAGGGTGACAGGGAAGAGGTGGGGTAGAGAAGTGGGAGCAATCTATCAGCATTAGGATAAGGGTGGCACTATACTGTAATTGAAAAGAAACCTTAGTTCTTGACATCTTGGCAAAGTTTAGCAATAATGAAAGGTTATAAAAATCTTCCTTTGAAAGGAAGTAAACACAAACACAAAACTTTGCTGTACTGAATTCTTAAGGGGAATTTGTCCTTTGAAGGTTAAGGCACATGAAACAGTACAATGTACTGGGCTTTGCATAGTTTTACTAAAAATGTTGAGCATTTTTTCACTGTTTCTCTCACTCTTGGATGAGACGATGAGCCAGCTGTTACTGTCATTCCTTTGATCCTCCGGGTTAATTCTAATTTGGCTGTCCTTACTGCTTTGCCCACATTTCTCCTCAGGCGTTGTTGGCAAGTTTAGGTTAAATTTCCATTAAAAAGACGGCATAAAGGGCCTGTGCAGTGGCTCATGCCTGTAATCCCAGCACTTCGGGAGGCCAAGGCGGGTGTATCACCTGAGCTCAGGAGTTCAAGACCAGCCTGGCCAATGTGGTGAAACCCCATCTATATTAAAAATACAAAAAATTAGCTGGGCGTGGTGGTGGGTGCCTCTAATTCCACCTAATAGGGAGGTTGAGGTGGGAGAATCACTTGAACCCAGGAGACAGAGGTTGCAGTGAGCCAAGATTATGCCCCTGCACTCCAGCCTGGGCAACAAAGC